TACACCTCCTCAGCCCTGCCCCCCCTCCCCCCCCTCTCCCTCTCTCTGACTTAAAGGTGAAACAAACTATGTCCTTTGGTCTTTAAGGAGCTCCCTTTGCTCAGCTTTTGTTACACCTTGACGATTTTGCAATTCAATAACGTTCGGGAATGAAAAAGCAAAAGATTTCAGTGACATCTCTGTTGATTAGAGGAATGCATCCCTGTCTGCCTCCGCTGTGTAATTCTACATGACATTTCTATTATGTGTGGAACTGATATAATCTTCTCAGTCCGCTCGGCAGTTTTATTTAAATACATCTCTCCGGTATTCCCTGAGAGAGTAAATTACAATTAACACGATTATAACCTCACAAAATTGTGACGGGAATCAATTAGGCTGCGAGCAGTATTTCATAGCCCGGTAATGTGCTGGTCGAGATTGCTTTCATAAATTATGAGGGACAGCGCAGGCAGAGAAAATGCATGTATGCAAAACACTGTCAGAGGAAAATTAAAACGAAATGTTTTACATATTTTTCCATTAATCTAAATGGGACCCGTGTGGCAAAGATGGTTTTATTCTAATTCCCCGCCCGGGGATGCCCGAATAATGACTTGATGTTTTAATAGACTTCTAATGACAATATATGACGGAGTAATTGCAGCAAAAGATGATTCTGAAGCAATAAAATGCCTCGTTATTGGAGCTGCAGCACAGTTTGAGAAGTGTAAACCTATTAGCTAAAATGGCTTAAAATATAACGTGTGCAGTGCTGATCAACATAAAACATTTAGTTAAAGTTAATTGACTCTGTTTCAATATTTAGGAATATTGTCTAAATAAATGAAAACATTTTCAGAGTGGCTTCAATTGGCCTCTGAGAAACTGTGCCACAACTATTACAATTAGTTCTTAATTTCCAGGATATCACAGCCCTGAGGAAGACAACAAAATTCTTAATTTTTTTTTCCCCCTCATCAATTATTTCTTTCAAAAACAATTATAGAAACGAATTAAAATGATGAGGAATGAGTGCTTTTACTTTACTACGTAGAATTTGAAATAATTCAGCTGCAAGTAAACTGATTTTTGAAAAGTAATTTAAGAGTCAAATGCAGCATATTATTTTTTGAACGACCGGGTCATAAAAAGGCGGATTAATTTAAAAAGCATCCTCTGCTACTAGAAACTCTTCCACCTTTTTACTTTTATTTATCTTGTTTTCCTGCACACTGCAATGCCAGGCGAGCACACATGGCCACACACTATTTATCATCAGCTACTTTATTCTGAATGTATGTCAGAGGAATATTTGTTTCATATTTTCCTCCTTTTTCTTTTTTTTTTATTATTGAACGCAGAGCTTCTTTTTTTTTTTATTCCCCTCTGGTGACAGGCGCATGTCCAGCCTTCCTTTATTCCCTCCAGTGCGTTTGCATGATATGAAATTCACCGCGGCCTGTCTGTGCTGCCTGAGTGATCTGGCACATGTGGACCATTACTAACTTCATTTGAGAAGACCTTTTGTTTGAATGTCCCCGTCAGCGAGGCAGTCCGAGGGGACGGAGCGGCGTGGCAGGAATCCGCATCAGAGATGTTAAACTTTTTTTTTTTCTTCTCCACCTTTTATATTGTGTCATAAATCCCCTTGATGCCTCCAGTAGGCCTGTGGGCATCGTGTAAAGCTAAATAATGTTAATTTTCTAAAGAAAAAGCATTTTCTATAATTGATTTAGCTCACATTTGTGCTGTTAAATTATATATTTTTTTAATATATGTGTCAAATTTGGACAATAATTCATTCACAACACCGGACAGGTATATAGAGAATGTGGAGCTGGAGCTGCTGCCAACCTGCTGTAGGTCTATCCTAAAGGTGATGGGTGGGGAGGCGTCTATTCCCATTTAATTTAACCCACCAAACTGGTCCAGGCCTCTATATTTGAAGGCCCTTCATGCTCCTTGCAGAGTTTAGTTCTCGGAGACCGGTCTCCCTTTAAAGTCCAGGCAGCCCCGGGGTGCGTTTACCTGGCGG